TCAGTAAAGTGTGGATATGAGGAGGTTAGTTCTGCATGTCTTTTTTTGCTAGGAGTCCGAAGAGCGCTTACAATGGCCCAGTAAAAGCAATTTTGATCTATATTTTTAATGTTTATACAAGCATTTTTCCTTATAATCGGTTCTGGTAGTCTAATATAAGATGAACCGTTTCCCAATTGATATTTACTGATATTAACAACTAAGGAAATAATTTTATTTAACGCAAATCCCGAATCTTTTTCAGCAAATTCCGATAATTCGTTTAAAAGTTTATCTTTCACATATATCTTAAACCACTCGTCTATTTGAGTTGATGTATCAATAATATGATTTTTAGTATTAATATATTTAATTCCCAAAATTTCATTATCCCCCGATTTCCTAATAAACTCCCCGCAAAATGTTGTATTTACTTTGAGCGCACAATGGGTGTTCAAAATATTCCTAATTTTCCTTTTAAAAACAACTACACAATCTGCTAAAAATTGATTCAAGTCCTTATGACGCAAATTAGCTATGGAACCGGTTTTTATTCTACTTTGAAAGCTCGATTCTACATTTTCCCATCTAACCCTCTGACCCAATGTTAAGTGAAGTCCTGCCCCAATATGTCTAGTTAAAATCAACTTTCTAAAATGTTTAAAATGCCCCAAATTTGTTTCTACTTTTCTACAGGTCCCTACAGATAATTTATTTTGCCTTCTACTACGAATTACCCGTTTACATAATCTAATTTGTTTTTCTATTCGTTTCAGCCACACTTCCGCGTCTCTGATTGTAAAATTATCAAATAAAATTTTCCGTAGACTAACAATTGATAGTAGAACACCGTCTGTTTGTTTGATGATCTTTTTAACCTTATTTGAAGACATTTGAAAAGACGACATTTTTTTTTTCAAGCAAACACATTACTCAAAAATATATAAAAATGCTCACCCTGTCCTCCTCCTCCTGTTCTCTGCTTTGTTAATTTTCCACTATTTTGAATGATGCTAGCGGTCGGCTTTTCCCTACGTCCACTTCCCCTTGGAAGATGATCGAGTATTTTCCGTGAAAAAGTTCGTCGATGACCGGCTGGTACGTTTCCGTCACCCGCTGTGGTAGAAATAGCACTTCCGGTCCTAAATCTAGTAGCACGGCTTCCCCAAATTTCGACTTGACCACTTTAGCTGCTTGGATTGCAAATGGTGTCCCGACTGGTAGGTCCTTTAATTTTCTGATAGGTTTGCGGTCTACAATCGAAGACGCAGCATTAATTTTTGATAAATCCATCTATAAAAAAAATTGAGTCGTCTAACTATTTTGAAGCATAACACGAAAAAACAGTTGCACTTAGAGACATAAAAAAGAAAAATATTAAATAAAATAGCACTTACTTTTTTTAAAATTTTCGCTATCTCGTCTCTCTCGAAGCACTATTGTACTGCGGCCGTTGTTCCAGCTTGCAGCGTTGTGCGTTAAGTGTGAAACAATGATGACTATTGCATGCGCTCGCTAAATATAAATACGTGGTTGAGATAACACACGCGTGCATGAGATAATTGTATCGTAAATATGCATATTATATGCATCATATTCTCAGTACCATTTTTATCGAGAAAACAACATTCATTGCGGTTGCAGTATTTTTTATATAATTTCTTAGTAATACATGAATGTATCGTTTGTCCGGCGGAAATTCCAATTACAAGTTGCACATGAGAGTAGAAATTTAGAAATATAGTAAATTCGTGTATGATTATTGTATATTTGCTGCCTAATTTTTTTTCAGTCAAGATTTTGATTGGGGGGTAAACGAATTTATATTTGCTATCTGAGATTTTTGACATCATTCTCTATCAGGTGTTGGTTCATGAAATTGGACATGCTCTCGGCATAGCACATAGTGCTTCTCCGAATGCTATTATGTTTGCCTTCTATCAGCATGAGATTCGTGGTCTAGATGTTGATGATATAAATGCAGTACAATATCTATATGGAAGAAAAAACAAATATGATTCAATCCCAACGTCTACCACCGCATCAGCAATACCAAAAACAACAACAACTATAAGATCTACAACTCGTAAGCAGCCGATCCTCAAAAATTTGTGTGATATTATTCCAGATTTTATGTTTTTAGCTATTGCTCCAGAGTTTTCAAATTACCGATTATATATTGCACATGATATGTTTATATGGAAACTAGACTTAAACGAAATGATTATCCCATCTCAGCCTGAACTTCTTGTCGATTATGTTCCTACAGAATTACGTCAATACACTTTACAACATATTTTCCAATCAACAAACGGTGACTTGATTACCATTGTGTCTCCAAACAACTATTTCTCAGCATCATTCCCTACCATTAAATTTCTTGATAATTTTTCAATTGATATACCCGATAGGGCTCGAATCAATGCTATTTTTCAATCAAACGCAGGACGGTCCTATACCTTTTATAATAATATGTCATATATAGAATTTTCTAACGATTTTACTGATGTGTTGAACAGAGGACGGATAAGAGACATATTTCCTGGGTTACCTGAAGTTTAGGGAAAAAATTAAAAAACAACCAGAACTGAACCGTGAAATACATAATTTGATTCTTGTCTGTCATGAACCAAATCAGTTGTCGAACAATGATTTGAGTCGATTAGTATCAACATCTAAAGTACTCCCTGATATGTAGTTTTATTGAAAATACCTCTGGTTTGCGAAATAATATTGTCGGAATTTCTTGTTGCAAGTTGTTCAAGCGCGGGTATTCAAAACATGGCACACACACACACACCAATCAACCTTATTGTTATATATACTATATGTTTCAATAAAATATCCATTATACTATTTTCATTTTGAACGGTATCATCCTGTATAATAATAACAGTACATCGTATACAGGTTATGAGACATTCTGACCGACCGACCGACCGACCAGAGGAGCCCACCACGCTATTTAGGTCACGCCTTGCTATATACGATTTAACGATATACCGTCGGTCCATCGATCCGCTATTTTTCGATGCACCCCTGTATACACGTTGCCCCCCGTAATCCACGCCAACACCAGACAGGTGCGACATCGGCGCCATCTATGCGCGAGATGCCCAACCCATCAATGGCAGCTGTCCAATGACGCATAGATTCCGTTAGGTTTGTACACCGCCAAACAAATCTACGCCATTTATGCGCGAGATGCTCAACCCATCAATGACAGGTGTCCAATGACGTATGACAGATGACGTTTTAACGCCATCTATGCGTGAGATGCCCAATGACGCATGACAGGTGTCCAATGACACACAGATTCCGTTTGGTTTGACAGCGCCATCTAGCGGCGGAATCCCCAACTCATGAATTCGATACAGATTCCGTCCAACAACCTGTCAATGGCGCGCGACGCCAGCGCCTCTGGTGGCGGATTTTGGAAGTTTTGAGACCGAATCCCCATAAGACATCTACTCAGTATATTTACGTCATTCTAGATCGAATATGATGACCGCCGCTGAATGGCTGTTCATAACTTCTGTGGTCACCACTATGATATGGGTATCAATGAAGCTATACGAGAAAACAGGATAAGCAACTAACGTCATCTCAAAATACAGGTGTATTAGTACATAATTATCTTTATCGGAGCTCTATAAAAGAAATAAGTAAGAAGTTTTATGGTGTCTTACTAACAAAACATACTAAAGTAATATAAAATCACCAAAATAGTTATTCGAAACAGTGTATGCAAAAAAGTTAAAAATAAATAAAATAGAAACATACATTTTTGAGGAAAGCTTTTTATGTACAATAGATTGAACTATTTTTTCAAGGATTAATTTTTTTACTGTAGTTGTTTTGTAAAGGCCGCGATACCACTTGTTCAGTGATTGGAGCTCGCATACCATGGGGAAATTCTGCTAAGTATCTCGGTGTGACTCTTGACACGGGGATGACCTGGAAGTGAAGTGAAGTGAAGCGTTAAAAAAAATTCCAAATTACGTTTCGTCAACTCTACACTTTGCTATGTAGAACCTCAAAATTAAGTTTGGTTAACAAAGTTCGGCTATACAAGATGGTTATCAGACCAGTAATCACTTATGCATTTGCAGCATGGTGTTTTCTTGCCACTACGCATCCGTAATCTGCAAGTTTTGCAGAACAGAACCTTGCGAACCATCACTAACGCACCACCGTGGTCTCCAACGAGACCCTTCACAGAGACCTTGACATCCCTTACCTAAGGAACCACATCAAACAACAAGCGCAGCTACGTTATAGTCAAGCGGAATCGCATAGCAATTCTTTGTTGCGCAAGTCAGCAGACCACACAGTCGAGCAAGTTCGCAAGCACACAAGGCCGCGACTCGCACTGTGATCAAAATCAAATCGTGCAATTCTAGGTCCAACCAAAATTACGGTTTTTGGCACACTCAAATTCCTTACTTTATTTCTTCTTCCTTTCTTTTCCCTGACTTGACTTCGTTTGGTATCTGGTCAACCAGACCTGACAGACTACTGACCTATGATACTTTAACAAAGAGCGAAGGTCCAACGGACCGCTCTGACGGATAATGACGAATAGAAGAAGACCATACTATTTGACATATGAAGTCTTGTCAGAACCACCGGGTTCTAGGGTTTAGCAGGAAAAAAAGCATCAGACTGCCAAAATACGCATCCAAAAATACAACGATTTAACATTTTTTTATACCTCAAACGTCTACGAATATATGGTTGAACAGCTGGCATGCGAAATTCAATGTTCACAGCCTCGTAGGGTAAATTCTAGATGAAACGCTCTTTGCGACACTTCGCCTTTTTATATTTGTATAAATGAGCGGATTATTTTTATTATGAGTATTTTCCTGAACAAATACTTTTTATTAAGTTTAAGTGTACCCTTGTTTTCATTGTTATGCAAATATAATAAAGGACTATAATAGTTCCATCATAATGATTTAGTAACAAGAAACTGGGCAGTGACGTAAAGCGCTTTCACATTTTTCAAAAAAGTCATAATGAGGTAATTATTGCTCTCCAGAACACGAGAAATATACAAGGACGTAATGTATTAATTATTTAAAGGGATTAGTGGAGAAAGTGGAATTTAAGTTTACTGTAACACGAAATTATGAAACGGATACTAAGTGACATATAAATCCGAACACCCAGTTTAAATGGTTTATTTAATAAAGTTGGTGAATGTATTTATCTTACTGTAAATAACAGTGAAAAAATTTTCAGCCTTATCAGTTGGACATTCCGGTTTTTATACTGCTTTTTTTTAATTCACTAACGCTCTAAAAATGAATATTTCAGCCGCAGTAAAGAATCAACGTTGGCGGATTTTGGTTCTTGACATCCTTTACGATCGGTTACGATTGCCTAGAGTACGGAGACCTGTACGATTTCGTCAACTTAGTGAGTTTGATAGGGGTCCGTATAGTGGACTTCGGAAGCTGGACTTTCTTTTCGGGCAATTGCAGTTAGAGTGCAAAGAAGTGTAGACACTGTGGTTAGGTGTTGTCAGGCATGGCTTCGAGAAGGCGTACGCAAAGAGCAAGGGGCACTGGACGCCGCCGTAGAACAACAGACCGTGAAGATCGCCGCCTAAGATTATTGGCCTTAAGGGACCGTTTCTCCACTACCAGGTCCATTGCAAATTAATGGTTTGCAGAACACGGAAGACCTATTGGCATGCGAAGTGTTTACCGACGAATGAGAAGTTTTGGCTTGTTTTCATACCGGCCACACTGGGTCCTCCCTTTAACTCGAGAACACCGACGTAATCGCCTTGAGTGGTGCAGACAACGGTCACTCTGGGATCAGGAATGGAACAGTATTGTCTTTAGTGACGAGTCTCGATTTTGTTTAGGCATGCACGATGGTCGTGCCAGGGTTAGAAGGCGACGTGGTGAAAGGAGGAATCCACAGTTTTTTGTTGAAAGACATGTTCATCACACTGTTGGAGTTATGGTTTGGGGTGCTATAGCTTATGGTTCCAGGTCACCTTTAATCTTCATCAGAGGTAACATGAACGCGCAGCGTTATATCCACGAAGTTCTAGAACCCCATCTTTTACCCTATCTTGACACCCTGGCAGATCCAACTTTCCAACAAGATAATGCCCGACCACATGTTGCAAGAGTCACAATAGACTTCTTTCAACATAATGATGTCACATTGTTACCATGGCCACCAAGATCTCCCGACTTATCCCCAATTGAGCACGTGTGGGATATGATGGGTAGGAGATTGCTCAATTTGCAACGTCCTCCTCAGACTCTAGAAGCACTTCGAGAGGAGTTGGTGGTTGCCTGGAATGAGATACCACAGGAGGACATTGACCACCTGATCAGAAGCATGCCTAGGCGCGTTGGAGAATGCGTAGCACATCAGGGTGCATCCACACATTATTAAAGGTCAAAGGGCTTTAAAGCAGTGCAATCATTTTGAAATTTTTATCATTTACTTATTATGCTTCATTAAGTACTTATACAAAATTTTATTAAAATAAAACCATTTAAACTGGGTGTTCGGATTTATATGTCACTTAGTATAGCTTCTTGTGCAATGATCGTATTGCCATGATTAAAATTGGATACTAAAACGCATATAGTAAGCTATTCTTTAGTTTAAGACACATGAGGATATCATGCACAATTTCCGCGTAACTGGCAGTTTTATTGGACATGAGATTTAGCTAAAGTCTGCTACGTGAATTGGGAGATATTCCTTATTGTGACTAAATCAAATTTGCTTTTATTTATGTTGTTATGTTCATGCTTGTACTAGTCTAAATTTTGATTAATATTGGTACCGTATACAGTTCTACCATTTTTAAAATACAGTAATTCTGGTAAATTCGTGATTCAACGACCCGAAATCTCAAGCTTTAAACAGTAATCATTGAAACAAGACCGTTTTTTTCAAAAACGACTTATTTCAACAAAATCAACCATAATGGATTTTTGAGAAAATGGTGTTAAAATATAATTTTGAACCACTGTTATAGAGGTTGTATCATCAATATTTCGTTAGTAATAAGTCTGTTCCTGACCATTTAAATGAGTTGTTTGTTACATCATGATATGCGGACCTAACTGGTCACAACCCTGTCAAAATTTTGTTAAATTAAGCAGTATACCGTTCAAAATTTATTTAAAAAAATGGATTTCCAGACGCGAAGAATACCCCAGGGTAAAATCTCCCTCTGCTACGTGTATAATCACCCCCCGCTATTTTATTTGCAATTTTTTGAAAACCTAGAAAAGATCATAAATATTTGCTATATCGGTACTGAAGACTAACGAGCATTTTTATAGTCTTGACATAATTGTACTAAGCAAATGTGAATGAGTAAATAAAAAATCATTTTTTTATTTACCAGGTGCCGAAACAAGTGTTCCGCTGTGAGCGTAAAGAACACCGATAGGCATGCATTTGTAGTGTGTCAAGATCACATCAGGTTGCTAGGTGTGGCTGATATTTTCAAAACATCGTTTTCGCATCCCATGCACCACTTTCCCCATTGTACTATCACTTGCCAAAAGCACCCTTTTTAGTATTTTGATCACTTATCAGTAATTTGAATTTCTCTTTATTAATGGTAGAATGCCGATTCCTAGGCACATTATAATGATTTTCATTTGTCAAATTTCACAGTTTATTGATTGTATTATATTACGTATTGTATCTTTCTTTCTCAGCGATTCAGTATTGCGTTGAAATCTTTTGAACACTAATGTTATAGTATTATTAACGACTATCTCAGAAATTTCCTCATAAAATATCGTTGGTCCCTCGTAGAGTTGGTTCCGCCCATTGGCAACCAGCGCCATCTTGTGATTTCTGCACGTACTAGCCGTATAGGAATATTTGCTTTCCTATCAAGATACCATGTTTTGAAAATATGTATGGAATATTTGATTTACTATCAAGAACCTTATTTTAAAAACTTGCGTGTACTTTGTGGGATCATTTCTCCTTGGAACACTTACAGCCAAAAAAAGCCGCAGGTCATGTTTACCCGCCAAACAGCTGCTGTCTCTTGCTGGAGAGTTTCCGCTCTTCAAGATCGAGTACGATTCTAGGCTGCTACAACTTACAGTTTTACTGTTGAAAAAAGACGTTAAAAACGAGATTTGAGTATTGCTTGAAGTGATTTTCGGCTTCAGAGATTTTTTTTCGACTACTTGACAGGCATAATGGCCACCAAGAGGAGCCGGCGCAAAAGGCGCATAAATTTGCCCGTATGCATCCTTTCATTTCCTAAGCCCTAAGCTCCGCCCTCCTAGCAAAGTTGAGTATAACCCTGATTCCCAGCTCTTTATCATTCTAGGCATCCAAAGTGTTGGACCCCTGTATAGTCTGCCTGTATCGCGTCAGAACGACACAGAACAAGCGCCGATGACTCTTTCTCTACCCCGCAGCGCTCCCACATGGGATCCTCAGTCACCCCCATGACAAGCAGATGGCGCCTCATCGTAATATGGTTAGAGGCTGGCCCCACTAATAACCTGAGGTAAGCAAAAGCGTCTGTCCTTAACACTGGGCCGTAGAATGAGCTCTAGAGCCCGACGAAGATGTCCACAGATGCTACTCTATTTTCCTAGAGAGTTGACTAGCAATTTACTTCTCCATTTCCCTCCTGATTCCTTGCGCGGGCACTCCTAGGGCTGGCTCAGGTCCAACAAGCTTGCCCGCTGATCCAGCTTCCGCAAGAGCATCCGCTATATCATTGCCCTTTCTCACAGCGTACCTCGGTATACACACGAAGGATACCAGATGCCTCGCTGCTAGACTATTCAGAGCCTCCCTGCATTGCAATACATGACTCGAAATAATTTTGCAGTATCGCAGCCTGGCTTTCGGAGAAGATTGTTATTCTTCTCGTACACCCTTTCCCCTCCAGGGATATGCATAGATTTCCGCCCGGAAAATAGTGGTGTATCCGCCAAGGGGCAGAGGTAGTCTAGTTCTCTGGCCCAAAGACTGCGGCGTCAGAGCCCTCTTCAGTAACCGAGCCGTCCGTGTGACACGCCTGCCAACTTCGTTCGGAGACTTTCCGGCTTCCGGACTCCCACTCCACCCTCACCAGATGTTCCACATTAAACTTGCGGTTAAAGCGATATTTATTGGTGATCAGTTCACCCCTCCTTAGAAGGAGGGTATCCTCCCTTTGCAATTCGACTAAGATGGCAGCGTGACCCTTGAACAGGATCCAAAAAGGCTTCACAGTCGATGTACCACTACCCTCGCATTTCCACGAATCAATAGATTCAATGGTGGGAGATCCAGCAGGGCTTCCATTGCACTCAATGGCATTGCCCGCACTGCGCTTGTAATATTGGTACAAGCCAAACGCTGAGTTTTATTGAGTTTGGCCTTAGTTGTCTCGGTTCCAATCCAAGGCCACCAAACCAGGGAGCCGTACAAAAGAGATGGCCGTACTGTCGTATACAGTCAGTGCACCACTGGAGTAGTACTCGGTATATCCTTATTAAACTCTATTGATTGACTATTCTGTGACGTATATATGATACGTATGATAACACACCGTGTGATAAAATTGCTTGAGTGCACTCAGTGCAATGCCCATCAAGTATCACTATTGTCGCTGAAGCTAGTCGATGGTCACAGATTCATATAGTCCCAGCCCAATTCTACCGCACTGTCTAGGCGTCGTCTAAATTTAGCAGAAGTAACATCGATGCACCCGATGCTTGTAATTTTGATATTTCAGCTCACAAAATCCGACGGTCGGCGGACGTTTCAAAACAATATTTTCACCGAAAACCGCACAAATCCATCGTTTGGCCCGCGCCGCTAGTTACAAGTGCATGTTTTTCTGTGCTTCGACATCAAAAAAATCAAGGTAAGCTTAGACATTTTCAAGATACGCAAATTGACACGGAATTTATGGTGTAATCTACTTGGTATGCAACGTTGTACCTAGCTACCATAATCATTACAAATCAATACATGTTCGATAAGTAGATATATGAAGCCACGTCAGCAAGTTTTTCTTTTGTGGCATAGCTTTTCCGGTTGATATATGGAATTTCATAGGCACACGTGTTATGAAACGGAGCTATTTGCCAAAAAAATATTGGAAACTGTTTCAAGGCAGCCTACCGAATTCCTGGGTAAGGTTGCAATAAAGCTTATTACATTGGCAGAATGAAGGTGTTGACATGCAAATATCAGAAATCAATCGCCAAGGTCTTCTACCTCTAGAGTATTTGCTCTTGATTCATGATCTCTGATATAAATAGTAACGAATGTGGCCCCTGGCTGATACGTTGTAATGTATTGATGATATCGTTTTGTTGCTTGAACTGCGAGGAATACAGATAATCCAGTCGTTGACTTTGGACTGGAGGTGCTTCTATAGTCAGAGATCAGTTGGAAGCGTTTGTGTATATTATATGTTAAAAGGGGACCCCATTTTCTACAGTTGATTGTAAAATTTATCCTGTGATAATAATTGTCATTCTAAGCCATCTCTCAATTTGGTCAACAAAATGACATCTCATCTGAGTCGAATGGAAACTTGTCGCCCTAGCTTCCAATATAAAATTGTATTCATTATCTTTTGTATTGATTGCTGAAAAATGCTAGCAGCCGTAACGTTGGTAGTAGAAGATATTTATTCACTCCATAATATAATAACAATATAGAATGGATAAATAAATATGTTTTAAAAAGGAGAATGCCTCTACATGGATCAGTTGTATGCTGGAACGTGTGAGATTCCAAAAACAAAACAGAAAAGTTAAAAGAAACGTTTATTTCAAAAAGGTATATACTATATGCAGAAGACATGTTTGATATGAGTTCAATAATTTGTTGTATTCCTATTGAGCGTATCCATTTTGATAGATTAAATTATGCGTATTCCGGAATTGTTATAAGTTTCGCGTTTAAATAATTTTGGAGACAAACAGAGAAAGGATCGCTTCGTTATGGTCTTATGAGGTTTAGGGTCAGTTTTTTCACGTAATTTATATCAAGTGTCATGGCAATGTGTGATTTTACCGCGCTCATTGATAACTTCATAAATATGTGAGAAATAAAGATGCTTGAAACCAAATAATTTTGTTTCGAAGTATGAATCATTCCTTGAGTATAATTTTGATTTTCTGAATATAGTTTTCGAAAAAGTTCTCTGTATAACGTCTGTATGGTTTAAATACGCTCGACATGCTGTACCTCACGCTAATATGCCATACATTATGTGCGGCCCAATTGAGGCATGATATACAGTACGCATAGAATTTCTCTGTCAATATGCCTGTGAGGAATTTAATTTTGTGTGTAACAAACCTTATTTTCTTCATGAATGTTCAACTTCAAAGGTTTTTTCTGAAATAGTTCTTAAATATTTGATATTGTCCACGTCAATTTTTAAATTTATACGTTTGAAGCAAAGATTTTAATAATCAGATGTCTTGCATATGATATAAAGGATAGAAAACTTGTAAATACAAGTAAATACTTTGGAAATCCGAAGTTCACGGTTAATTTCATAGTTTTGAAAAAATTTATGATTTTACAAGAGTCATTCTCGATTGTTCTCTTTACACCATACCAGTCTTGCCCTTTAAATAGTATTGCTATATTATCATCAACACCGACTATTGTACCAAACAGCTAATTTTGAATATATCTTTCAAATAGATATTAAATAAAAGAGGGCCTAACACTCTACCTTGAGGTACACCACATTTGACAAACATTTCCTTACTATATGATAGTGATAGTTTCACTACTTGAGGCCTCTTTGATACCCTTGCTTTAAAGAATATATTTTTCTACGAAAACCTAATTTGTCTAAAATCTCTAACAGTAAATTGTGATCTAATATCCTTTTCAGATCGAGAAATAGACAAAGGTGGAATTTTCTCATGAAAGTTTTGAGTAATTTGATTCACTAGACTTAGTACACCATCTGTGCTAGATTTTCCTGTCACAAAATCGTATTTATTTGGTCTTAGAATTTATTAAGGAAATTTGTCATCTCGCTAGAGAGTAATGCATTTACCAACTGGCAGGTAAATCAAAAACCTAAACCAGTTGCGTATCTACGAGTATACAGGGTTATCCAAATTAAGTGTCCACCATTAGTAACTTTGTTATTAGTGAAAATACAAAGTTGTTTGAATTAGCAAACTAGTAGCATTTTTAACGCTGGTAAAAATGAAAAATAAAAAAAACAATTGAGAGTCGTTATTTTGATTTTTTTCAGTAAAATAACATTTTTTTAATATTATATTTTTTTTTTGTTAAAGCATCAAATTTTAAACAAAAAGCTTACAATAACTTTTCTCCTAGGTTACAAATTGTTGAAGTTATGGCCTCCAATCTGAAACAATTAAATTGTATCGACAAACTTTATTTTCAACATCAACTTATAATCTTACAAAATACAATAACAATTTTTTTTAAAGAAGATGCTCGAAAACACCACCTTG